TAGGTTAGGTGTGCTTGAGAGTATGACTTGTGAGTGTGAAGGAAACTACTCACATGCATTGGTGGGTGTATGGTGCATTAGTGTGGAGTGTGAGAAAGATAATTCCTTTGTCTTAGTTGAGAGGGGCGGCCGAACATGCAAGGGGGAGAGGTGATGGTTCTTACAACCTCCTAGGGTGACCATTGCATGTGATCCACTTGGCATTTGACTTGGTCTTGGTTAGGGGTTTTTTGTGAAAGTAATCTCCTTGGTTGTCTTGGAGAGTTTGGCCGAACCATGTGAGGAGAGAAGGAGGTGTGATCATGTGATTCTTCCTTGGTGGCCGTGTGCTTAGGGAGAGGAGAAAGTTCTTGGTCTTTGGAGTATGTCATGCATGGCTTGGAGTGTGGGAGAAGCAATCCTCTTTTTCTCTTCCTTGCTTGCATCGGCAAGATGGGTTGGGGAGAGGAGAGTTGCTTTTGTTTGGATCAAGAGAAGGAAGACACATGCATAGGTTAAGGCTTGGAGTGTATCTTACACAATCTCATATTTTATTCTTTCTTTCCTTATGTAGCGCCTAGGGAGTGTAGAAAGTAATATCTTTCCTTTTTCTTCTTGCTAAGGCCGAAGTTAACATGTGAGGGAGGTGAGATCAATTCAAATTCTTCCAATTATGCTATGACACCTCATCAAGGGTTGGTTCATGGATTTGGGTTGGGCTTGCCTTTAGTTGGGCTGAGTTTGGGTTGGCTTTGTGGGTGGTTCGGCCAATTGGGTTAATAGGGGTTGGGTCACTAGCAATTGGGCTTAGACTTGGGTATAAGTGTTGTGGGCTTAGATCGTTGTATGTATACTATTTGGGGTCAAGTCTTATTCAATTAATAAATTAGGCTTGCATTGCTTTGAGCTCAATCCTTTCTCAATTGATCGTACTTGTTTACATTCTTAAGTAGGTTGGGCTATGACATTGTTTGGGCTTTAAACCACATTGAGTTGGGTTATTACTTATCTTAGTTAGAGTGGGTTCAAGGTCGTTCTAACTCAAGACTAACTTTGCTTTTTCAAGGATAGTCGTTCACTGAATATGGGCTCTGCCCTTTGATTCCATTTCATTAGGCTAATTTCGAGTACATGATTTTTGGGTTGTTACATCCACCCTACCTAATAAATTTTTTGTCCCGAAAATTACAATTATTCTAAGTCGGGATACTTCTGTCGGATCTCGTCTTCTCGCTCCCAGGTTACTTCTTCGGGAGTTCTTCCTTGCCATTGCACCTTTACCATTGGTATCACTTTGCTGCGAAGTCGCTTCTCTTCTTTGTCTAGAATCTTGCAGGGTACCACCGGAATCTTCAAGTTGGGTCTTACTTCCACAGTATCCAGTAATACAACATGGGAGGGATCCGCAAAATACTTCTTCAACTGGCTTACATGGAATACATCGTGAAGGTTTGCCAGATTGTGTGGTAATGCTAACTGATAGGCTACCGGTCCTACCCTTTTCAGAATCTGATAGGGACCGATATATAGTGGACTTAACTTCCTTACACCAAGAGCTCTGCCAACACCAGTAACAGGGGAGAGTTTGATGAATACATGATCCCCTACTTCAAATTCTAAGGGTCGGTGCTTCAAGTCTTAGTAACTTTTCTGTCGATCTTGGGCTTTCCATAGCCTATCTCGGACAATCTTGATCTGCTCTGTCGTTTCCATGATCATGTCTGGTCCAAACAACTCTCTGTCGTCAACTTCTTCCCAGCATATAGGTGTACGACACCTTCTTCCATAAAGTGCTTCATACGGGGCCATACCGATACTGGCATGATGACTGTTATTGTAAGAGAATTCTGCCAATGGCAGGTACTGATCCCAACAGCCTTCCTTCTCTAAAGCGCAGGCCCGTAATGTGTCCTCGAGTGTTTGTATTGTCCTCTCAGTTTGTCCATCGGTCAGGGGGTGATACGTTGTGCTCAATCGTAGTTGGGTCCCGAACGCCTGTTGCAATGAAGACCAGAATCGGGATGTGAACTTAGGATCCCGATCGCTGATTATACTTTCAGGGACGCCGTGTAACCTTACAATTTCCTTCACATAAATCTGAGCGAACTTCTCTGTCGTGTAAGTTCCTTTTACCGGTATGAAGTGTGCTGATTTGGTCAGTCTGTCGACCATTACCTAGATGACATCGTAGCATGCTTGAGTACTGGGTAGACCTGTTACGAAGTCCATAGATACACTTTGCCATTTCCACTCTGGAATGCTCAAGGTTTGTAGGGTGCCTGCCGGTCGTTGATGCTCAATCTTTACTTTCTGGCACACCATGCATTTGCTTACGTATCTTCCCACATCTCTTTTCATTCCTTTCCACCAGAAGTTCTTTTTCAAGTCTCCGTACATCTTGGTGGCTCCTGGGTGTATTGAGTATTGGCTCTTATGTGCCAGCTCCATCACTTCCTCTCTCAGGAGTTTTGTAGGACAACTATCCTCCCTTGGAAAGTGATTATGCCTTGCTGGTTCAGGCTAACACCAGATTGATTCCTCAGCGTCTTCAAGCAGCCAACGGCTTGCTGAGCCTGTTTGATCCTTTCTAGTAGCTCGTCTAAGATCTGCACTGCCCCATATTCGGCCTCACATTCGTTATTTGCCTCCGCTAAGTTCAAGTTCCAGAATTCCTCTATCAGTCGATGCTCGGCTATCATCATGCTCGCAACTCCTCTGGTTTTTCTGCTCAAGGCATCTGCGACTACATTCGCCTTGCCGGGATGGTATTGCAATTCAAAGTTGTAGTCCTTTATGAACTCCATCCAACGGCGTTGTCTCATGTTCAGCTCCTTTTGATCGAATAAATACTTGAGGCTCTTGTGATCACTGTACACTGTTACGGTTGCGCCGTACAAGTGATGACGCCATATCTTCAAGGCGAACACGATCGCTGCTAATTCCAGATCGTGTGTGGAGTAGTTTTCTTCGTGCGGCTTCAATTGTCGAGATGCATAGGCTACTGGTCTGCCGTGTTGCATAAGTACACATCCCAAGCCTATCTTGGAGGCGTCACAATACACCTTGAATGGTTCCTCCGGGTCTGGCAGTGTCAGTACGGGAGCTATTGTTAACATCCTTTTTAACTCTTAGAAACAGGCTTCACATTCTTGAGTCCATACGAAGGGGACTTGCTTTCTTGTTAATCGGGTGAGTTGCAACACCCTCTTCGAGAATCCTTCTATGAATCTTCGATAATATCCTGCTAGCCCAAGGAAGCTTCTTATTTCCGTGATAGTCTTTGGTCGTTCCCAGTCTACTACTGCTTCGATCTTATTGGGATCTACTGCTACTCCTTTATCTGAAATTACGTGTCAAAGAAATTGGATCTCAGGCAACCAGAATTCGCACTTCGAGGGTTTCGCATATAATTGTTTCTCCCGCAATATATGTAGCACAGTTCTCAAGTGTTCTTCATGCTCTTCTTTGCTCTTCGAGTAGATTAGTATGTCGTCGATGAATACGACCACGAATCAATCCAAGTAAGGTTGGAAGATCTGATTCATGTAGCCCATGAATACTGCCGGGGCATTAGTAAATCCTAAGGGAATGACCAGGTACTCGTAGTTTCCGTATCTCAATCTGAAGGCTGTCTTTGGGATGTCTTCCGGCTTGATTCGGATCTGATGGTATCCTGATCGAAGGTCGATCTTCGAAAACACCTTCGCACCTCTCAGTTGATCAATTAAGTCCTCGATACGAGGCAAGGGGTACTTGTTCTTGACAGTCACTTTGTTGAGTTGCCGATAGTCCGTGCAAAGTCTCATTGACCTGTCCTTCTTCTTTACAAATAGAACTGGTGCTCCCCACGGGGACACACTGGGTCGGATGAAATTCTTTCTTAGCAAGTCTTCTAGCTGCTTCTTCAATTCTACCAATTCAAGGGGAGACATACGGTAGGGTGCTATTGAGATTGGCCCAGTCCCGGGTATAAGTTCAATAGAGAACTCCACATCCTTTTCAGGGGGAAAGGTGGTAATATCATCAGGAAATACATCCTCGAATTCTTTGACCACGGGAATGTTCATCAGCGGCGTCTTGCTTGCACCTTCCAGGCCAGCTATTAGCATGACAGTACATTCTCTTGTTTCGTTCGGTTCAGTACTGGGGAGTAGGACCTCCATTTTGTCTCCACCGACTATTATACTCCGGCTACTACAATCAATTACTACGCGCTGTTTGGCCAGCCAGTCCATCCCCAATATTAAGTTTAGTTTGGCTAAGGGGAGAATTATGAAGTCTTGATTGTACTTCTTTCCTTTGTATCTGAATTCTACACTTCTACATATAAAGTGAGACATTATCACTTCCCCCGTCGCAGAGGTGACTTGCATTGGGGATTGCATTGGGCTCATAGTTAAGTTAAAGGCTTTTGCCACATAGTCAGCAATGAAGGAATTGGTCGCACCAGATTCAAATAAAATAGATAGTTCTTCACCACATATATTGATCGTACCTTTAACTAGTTCGGCTGCCTGGTCTGCCACATGTTGATCCAGCGTGTAGACTCTGCCTATCTTTGGTGCCTTAGCAGCTGGCTGTTGTTCCCTCCATTGTGGACAATCTTTGATGAAGTGTCCATCTTGGCCGCACTTGAAGCATTTCATCGATCCGCTCAAACAATTTACGAAATGTGCCTTCCTACATTTGGGGCAATTGGGAGCCCTGTTGCTGTTTCCTCGGAAATTCCCGGGCCTCTTAAACTTATGGTCATCACGCCTAGGCTGCCATGGTCTGCCTCCGCTCTTCCCTCTCCATGGTCCGCTCCTAGTCATCGGAACTTTGTGTCCGGATCCGCTGGTCTCTGCGGGCTTCCTAGTTTGCAACCCGACCGCTTCTACCTTTCTACATCGGTTCACCAGGGTGGCCATGTCACAGGTGTCGTTGCCAACTACCAATTCCGCAATCCTAGCGGACAGGCCCCTTTGAAATTTTGCTATCAGAAAATCCGGCATGGGCATTGTTCCTCGGTAAGTTTCCAATCAGAGTAGTTCGTTGAATTTAGCGTGATATTGGTCCACCATCATGTTCCCTTGTACGAGTCGGTCGAATTCACCTTGCTTGCTGTCCCAGATTGACATCGGGAAATACTTCTCCAAGAATATTTCTTCAAATACAGCCCAAGTAATTGCCGCATTTTGCATCTCCAAAGGTTGAGACGCATTAGCCCACCAATGATGGGCGTCTCCTTCCAACATGTACACCGAGAATAGCACTTTTTGATCATCGGTGCATTGGACCACTCTGAATATTTTGTCCATGGCCTGTAACCACTGTACAGCCACGATCAGATCATGTCCTCCTTGAAATGAGGGTGGTTTGTGTTTCCTAAATGTAAGCAGTAGATCTTGGTTATTCTGGCCGGCCGCTCCATTGTTCGGGGGCGGTTGGGGACCACCACCACCGGCTCCTCCGGTTCCTGAGCCGCTCGCGGTGTTATTATGGGTTGTGTTTTGAGAGTTGCGTCTTATTTCATTCAGAATATTTTGGAACATCTCCCCCGCATTTTTCTGCATCTGTGTGATGGTATCCCTTAATGTAACACCCTCTCTTGTAGGCCTCCAAGAGAGTTGTTTGCTAAGCGGAATTAGAGTTCTTTAATAGTATTTTAGAGACTGAAAAAAATCGCTTTTACATTTCCAATTAAGACTAAAGAGGGGATCTGGTTAATTACAAAAATCAGAGTACACAAAATTTCTTAAACTCGTTAAAAATATAAATTTCCTGATAGACCTTGCTGTCTTTAAAAATTCGTACAAAAATCCAGTTCAACGATCCAAAAATATATTCTTTCTAATCTGGAAACTAGACATCTGGGGCTTCACGTTCATATAAAATAATAGTGATTTGGAGTTCGTTTGCCCCTCGAAACATAACTCGTAAAATAAGAGAGAAAATAGTGGAAATATCCCAAATGTCCTGGCTGGTAAAATTCATAATAAATCGATTTTTCAGAATTTCTTTGCAAGGTTTATATATAATGAAATTAGAGACTTGGGGCTACGCGTGCATATAAATTATAAGAAAATCGGAGGTCCGTAGCCCCAGTACGACAACTTACAAAGTGCTCGCAAAGACTTTTCAAAACTCAGCATTTAGATAACATGTCAAAATCCTTTTCGCAAACGTTTCAACATCTGTTTCCAAAATACTTGCTGGTCATAAAATCGTAAAGCAATAATAAAATCATAGTTCACAATAATACAAGCTTCTCAATTTCATACAGTCATCCATAAAATATCACATCAATAGCAGCATGCCCAAATAGTAGAAGCCAACAACAAATATCCAAGTCCTCAAAAGCTTTTACGTCCTCCTGCCATTTTGTAAAAATAGCAGCCCCAAAGGGGTGAGAGAAAATCCCAGTAGTGTGGCAACAAAACCATAATGCAACAATATTAATTAGGCACAAAATCATAAATAGTCACTTCAAACATTTAATCCTTTTCATTATATATCATAACGCGTATATAACGCCCTTTTTCCTTTACGCTCATAGCACCGTCGTCGCGTAGCATCACAGTGGGTATTCCTAATGGCTCCCATGAAGGTGAATCCCACTGCGGAACCTATGCGGACTGAAGCCAAGTGTCCCCTCTCCTGGTACCAGGCATGCCTATATGATGCATGTTCAGCCACATGTCCTCAATACAAATATATATATATATATATATATATATATATATATATATTCAAGATGTCATGAATCAAGTATACATGCCATGTTATGCAATCGTACCCAACAGAAAAATGTATTATGATGTAAAATGCATGCATATATCATATCATCCTTTCATATTCTTACCATTGGCTCATCATCATCATAACATACATAGAACAAATGTGAGCAACACATCACAATTCCATAGACTAGTCAATAGTCACATTAGGTAATACCGCCTACACATACCTCGTACGTCGAAATTTAAGTTACCAACAAACAGTGATATAGTCCAACTTCTCAAGGATTTTTCGTACTAATTTACAGTATAATCAATCAGTGTACATTCAATTTATTCATCAAATTCCCAAGCTTAAAAATTCCTATAGCATTCGGCCCTAAGGTTCTTTTTCTAAAAATTATTTTTAACTCTAAATTAACCTTTGTTCATTTTAAACAGTAGGGAATTCTTTTAATAATTCCTCTAAGGCAGAACCGGTTTTCATGTTTCTCTTACAGAAGATTTCTAACTTTAATTGCATAAAATACAGTAGCGTGTTTCAGTAAAAACGGTGAACGTTTTTTTATGTAAAACAGTGAGCAAAAGAAACCATTTTTCCAATAAAACAGTGAACGTTTTCTAATAAAACAGTGGACCTCTTTCTAATAAAATAGTGGACATTTTTCTAATAAAGTAGTGAGTGTTTTTCACACACCTATACTCCATACAGTGCGCTGAAAACAGTGAGTTGTGCTACCAAATTTTCCAGCAAACAGTGAGCATAAAAACCATTCTTCAGCAACGTTTTCAAGAAAAATAAAAGAAACATGCTGTCCAGAATTTTTACAGCGAAACAGTGAGGGATTTTAAGCAAAACAGTGTGCATTTCTTCAGCAAAATAGTGACAACTTTATAATAAAACAGTGAGCAAAAGATCCTTGTACGGCAACATCTTCTCACAAAATAAATATACTTGTGGTCTAATTCATTTCATCGCAAAACAGTGAGCAGAACAAAAGTATACAGCAACCTTTTCTCAAGAATATAAATTATTTTAAGACTTACTAACCCTACTTGATGCGATGTAAGAGGGGATAAGGTGTTGTCCACATACTTAGCTTCATAAAAAGTCTAGGTACATATATATATATATATATAACATGTAAACAGTACCACTTATTAATTTGTATGATCATTCTTAGGTTTATATCTAGAGCTTTTTGAGTTAAGTTCAAGGTACAACAAGGTGAACTAAACATAAAAATAACCAGCCTTCCATTGATGCTCTAAAACCGAAGACAAAGCTACCCAAAAGAATAGAAGATCACTTACGGTTTCTTGTTCACCACCAAGGGTTCGACTTGTAAAAGAAAATAGAAGGAGCTTCCACTTCCTACTGCTCCAGCGTCCACCTAGCAACGCTCAAAGGAAGGATAGGCTTCACCAAAATAAGGTCCACGCATGCAACAAAGAATAGTCTCATGAGAGTCTTGTGAGACGAAGGAAATGAGAGGAAAAGTTAACCCCTTACTTAGGAGCTTTCAACCAGAAGAGGAAAGGAATAGGATGAGTTCTATCATTGCTCCTCCTTCAAGGGCTTACGGTTTCAACAAGAAAAGGAAAGGAGAACTAGATGATAGCTACACTTCTTCTCTTGAAGGCATAAGGTCACGGTTTTGGTAGGTTGAGGGATTGGGACACTTTGTTCTTTGTTTAGCGTTTTGGAGGATGAGGGAATGGGGTTTAAGTGTTGTTTTAAATGGTGCTAAGCCATCAGAAAATTTACTGAAGACTCTCCTCACATGGGGCGTACAAATGAGACAAGGTGAGATGTTTTTGGTCCAATAACATTACATGCAAGGCTGACCTTCCTTCAGCCATTGGTTGCATAAGATAAAGTGAGGTTTCAAAGTTAGTCTAACAAGCAACATGGTTGCTTTTGCAAAGGCTATGCGTAAGGGAGAGG